GCCCATATCCATTACTTTGCACCGAATTTGCATATTGAATCCTTCAAATGCCTCTCCCTCCCCAAGCTAGACAGCGCCTGGTGCCTTTAAATAAAGAAGAGCGCTAATGCTGAAATTCCAAAAAAGCGAACTAGAAAAACCTGAATATTTACCTGCAACAAAATAATGGCGTGTTTGACCGTGTCGAGTAATTTGCTACTGGAGGCGATGAGATCGTCAACATTTTTTTTCGGCGTTCTTTCTCACTAGCATGTTCCTTCAGTGATTCCAATCCTTTTACCTGAAACAACGCATTTAACTTACGACCTCAACCCGAGATCGACGGGGCGTGTCAGTACAACTTGGATATTGGCGCGCCGCCAGCGGGCTTTCCAGCAGGCGTTGTCAGGCGCCGACGACAAATGAGCATGTGGGAGGATAATCGAGCGCTGTTCCTAATTGTAAATGGTGTCACAATTGACTACGCAGGTCGACTGTCGATCCGGTTGTTATGGACTATACTGCAACCGACCGCACGACAGCGGCCGAGACGGTAATCTCCTCTAGGCAAATCAGAAACTAAAAGACGTTCTACCTACTAAACTATGCCAAACAGTTCAGAGTTGAGCAGAGTTTACTTAATGTCGGCCAATGAATAATGCTGAGTTCTGCGCCCAAAGCCACAAACTGCAGAACTTCTCTGTAGCGCGATACCGTCGCATTTAGCACCTCGAAATACACCATGGAAAACCCCAAAACAGACTGGGGGTTCGGTGACGTTTTTCGAGAAGCAAAAGGACTCTGAGACTTCAAGGTTATCGTAAAGACCTTACAGCCACTAAACCACAGAGCAAACTTGAGTTAAATTCTGCGGCCTGGTGTCATAAAGTGGTATAAGAAACGAGAGATGGCAGACAGGAGTCTGCCATCTCTCGTTCCTTATAACCTAGTACGAACTCGTAAAAATAGATGATGAGATCGTAGTTCATAACTGTCGTAGCTGCAAAAGGGTGCACAATGGCTGGGAGAATCCCACCAGTCGTTTTTTTGTGGATGGAGGGAGTCGTACATGGCCTTGGAAGAAATTTATCTTCAAGCGAATTTTTTCCGGCTGCTCACTTTTCGCGTTCCACGCTTTCACGCGTGCTTTACAACCCCCATCGCTATTGTGCAGACCCCCGTTTTTTTTTTTTAGAAAATCTGATGAATTCGCCGACAGTTTTTTTTTAGAAATTGGACGCAACTTTTTTTTGGAAGGTTGGCAGGGAATTGGAAGAATATACAAAAATGGCCGTAAGGATGAGAAGGGGAGTAACCATAGGAGGAAATTTGAGTTAGTCGCACTGTATTGAATAAGAGATTTCCAAAAGATCTCACTTGGCAGGGGACCGCTATTTTGTCAATTTAAGCCCAAGGCTTCAACCTGGCCGCAAACGGTATCATCCCACATTTATCCCAAGACGAGCAGTACTATATGATAGTCACCAGCGCCATAACATAGCGCTAACCTAAGAGACCAAAGAGGCGAAGAAACATTATATTCTGGTAGAGAGAGACTTATGGTATGACCCAGTAGGAAGGATATAGCATTAACCTGATCTTCATGCCCGTAGCACCCCTGCACACATTTGTTCGCAGCGGACGACGGGGCGTGTCAGTGAGGAGGGTGCAGGTAAGCGGCACTGGTGGGAAACGACTGGTAATGGCACACGATGATACAGTCCTATCTGCCTCGCCACAATGACAGAAAGGCCTGGGCAGGCGCCGCACCAAACACCCATACCTTCCATTAATATTTCCGCATCTATCCACAGCGAGCAAGGGTATAGCTCTGGTATTTTCCTGTTCAAATTTCTTACCAATATGCACTCATGTATTACAACTACTATAACTTTATTTTTACTACTAATAACCAACTGCTTCTACTACTAACCTGAAGGATAATATCTGAGAGATGCTGATCTGCTTCGGTTATTTTACGTTTAAGGGCCTCTGCGGCGCTCTCCTTATTTTTGGGCGTTTTTCGGTATCCTCCACAGTCTCGGATAACGCCTTCCAATGCACGCACCCAGTGATTTCGTTCTTTCTCGTCGCGGCCCTGAAATTTACAAAAGTAAGCATAGAATTACGAACTATTAGAATTTTGAGTATGCCCCCGCTAATATTTTTACTGCCATTCAGCATATGAAGATGTGGTAAAAATCTCTTGGCCTGTCACACTTCTTTCCATCTAGAGTTTTTTTTCGAACTAATTCGAGCGCCTCAATCCCGTTGGGGGGGAGGGGGATGCTGGAGGAGCTCCTGATTAAGGTCTACGGCTTTGTTGAAGGGTCCCGCTTCTCTGGCGACAGCCCAGGCCCAGTTCTGGCCACTGCTGGGATTGGAAAATATTCCCATGGAGTTGCCTCCTTAAACAGCGATTCCCCCTCTCCCCATCCCTTCATGTCCAACTACCAACCTTCCTAGATTTCCCCCACAGCTTTCCATCCACGCACTCATAAAACAAGCCTAACCCCCCCCACCCCCCTCCTCCCGCAAACACCGCCGTGAGTGCGGAGTAGCATAGACGAAACGGGAAAAACCGAGAAGCATCAGCAACCGCATTCCTTTATCTCGTGAGCAAAGAAGACCATCCCCTCCCTCCATCCCCCGGTCCACGCAACCAACGCAATTCCTCTTCACTGGGAATACCCTCAGTCTTCTCTTACTGGGTGCACTTTCTGCGGGACTATTCCACTGGCGAGCGATCTGGTCGCCTGCCTCTACAGGGGGGGGCCAAAAAAAGTCATTTTGCCTCCATGACTTTCAAGGCGCTATAAGTTACACTTATTAAATTTTTATCGGACATTTTTACTACCATATTAAAGAGCACATTAAATACTATAATGATACTCCGCCACAGCCTTCTGGAGGAGCGCCATCGAGAGATTCGGCCGCGCGAAAGTGAGGGCTTGGGTACCGGAGTTGAGGCGAGATCGTTGATTTCTCGCCATCACTGAAGACCACCCTGTTGAGCTCCGCCCGAACCGAGTAATTGAGGGGGTTTAGTTCAGGACCCCCGCTTAAATACTAGATCTTTTCCAGGTACTCAACGTTCTTCCATTCCGAGTAGGCGGGAGTTTTTCCAAAACCCTTTGATTCCATGTGGTGGCACCCAAACCTGTAGCAGCACAAGGTCTCCAAGAAGGTACGGGCGACCACATGTAGGGAGGATATTCTTCTCGAGTTACTTGATGTAACCGCCAGCGCTCACCTTCAGTCGGGTTACAAAGAAAATATCGGTCTTTCCCTTTCCAGGTACCCCGGTCCATACCATCAACTCGCGCCTCGGCGAATACGGTGAAGATGATGTCCTAGACCGTAGCGACGTTGCCGTAGCCGCTCGATGTGGGGGTCTTGCAGATCAAGAGTACTGACCTCCAGGTAGCTATCTGTGGATGATTTCATTCAAGAAGTTTCGCAGCTGTTTGGAGGCGACGTGAATTCCAAAGGTGTTCTCCAGTCAGGCCGCGACTGAGATGACTTCATATTTTGGCGTACATGAAGGCGATTGGCGGCAGCCTGCTCCAGCTTATAGGGGAAGATCTTGGGTATCTTCCGCCCTGGTACTCATATCCACTTCCTCTGTCTGGGCTGCGAAAACTTCGCTCATATGTGACTCGGCCGGAATGACTTTTTTTGGCCCCTGTACACTAAAACTTTTTTTTAGGAAAGTGCACAAAAGGTTTTTGGGGGTTCTTTTTTTGCAGCTGGCTGCCCACCCCCCCCCTCCGAAAAGAGAAATTAACGCCCTAATTTGCAGTTTCGTGACTAAATGTAATTTTATATTAATTTCGTTTTACTTATTCACTTGTTTACTTCCACATTCATCTTATTCGAACCATACCTCATCTTATACCAATAAAATTTATAAGCAGTGGCAAATTTTTTTTGAATGATTCATTCCACCAGGAAACAGAACGGTGCTAACGCCCCCCCCCCACCACCACACATTCCACACTGAGTCTTTGTCGTAATACTGGCAAGAGGTCAATGATATCAAAACAGCAGGGCGACCAAATCGCACAATAAAACTCGCCAATGATGTCACTCGTGTCCTCTCCAACAATAAAAACAAATCAAAATCGCCTTGAGGCTCTGCCAATGAATGACTTCTACAAATCATTTTTCAAGACTCGTGCCTGTATTCATAAAGAAATGAACCCCCCCCACCCCCTTGAGAACCTAAAAACGACTTTGAAAATGGCTGTGCGTGCCGTGGAAAAAAGCCCTCATGGTCAAAATTTGTTAAAAGTGATTGCTGGCAATTACTAACCATAAACTCGTCTGATTGACTCCTCCGACTTCATTTCTTATCCCGCTCAGCTCTCGTCAGGCGCAGCGACAGGAAGGTGAACAAGTAAGGAAATAAACATTATACTGTAAGTTATGCAAAAAAATTCTATGGAAAATCACTACGATACTCGCACTACCTCTGCAATCGGAGTCATTACTCAACGTCAGCTTGATGAAAGCATTTAACACAGACAAATAAAAACATAGAACATGAACTTCTTTGAATCTGCCCCTTAGGAATAAATTACAGACTTGTATTTTAATACTGACGAGACCAAAGATGCAAATCCGTTCCTCGGCGGACAGACTTCTAAGTAGCGTTCTGGTAGCAATCTTTATTACGAGACTTTGTCGCATCACAAAGACAAGGACAGTTCCGTCAAATCCAAATAACCCACGAAAAACGCGTCTTACGCGTAATCATCAAACAAGGTGTGCAGCCACACCCTCTCCATATCCAGGATGTGGGGTGTAGCTGCCGATAGTGAAATGCGCATTCTACACGGGGTAAAATGGAACCGATTAAATTGGAACCGTTCTTACTGGTGGACTCACGCTTTCCAAGATGGTAAAAAAAACGGGACACACTAATGAATTAAGCGCAACTGCTCGATCCAATGATATGACCAGCGTAGACCGTGCCTTCCAAATCTGCGCTGGCGTACAACTGACCGCAGGGCACGTCGTACGTTTTGGGTATTGCTAATTAAAGAGAGGCCGTAGAGTGGCTAGTTCGGCATATACGATACCCCTTTCTTAGCGGTTGACCACTAGAGAGAGGGGAGGGTCGTATTTCGTTTGAGAATAAAATGTTTGGTTCATTGCCTTGCCCTCCGCTTTCTTTTCTGTTTTGACATGAGTCAAATACATCCGACAGCTTTTTTGAGAGAAAGAAAAGGAATTCGAAAAAGAGAACTCAAGGAAATAGGTAGGAAGGGGAAAGATTAGGAAGGTGATGGTAGGTACAACGGGAATGGGGAAGGCGGTGCCAGAGGGAGAAGAAAAAACACCGGAAAAGTGATAGGAAATTGGGAAGGCGTCGGCAAGTTCAGGAAGATGGCAGGGTAGACGAACAAGGGGACCAACTGTGGGGGTCGTATTTGCCTAACCCCCCAACAGCAAAGAACATCGCATGTCCAAGCAATATTCACCTCACGACAAACAATTAAGCTCCCAAGCTTGCGCAGGAAGCGGTCAAAAGTCTGCCCTGGAACAAGCATTAGTTTTTTTTTGAAACAATGAGCTCTCAGCATAGATAAACTTTCGTGACGTAAATCTGAAAAAAGGTTTAAATTTGGTGCGATATGAACGACAATACGCACTTCTTTATCAACAATTCCAAAACGAGAAAGTTTGAGGTAATCACGCTGTTTGTCTGGGCGGAGTCCTTCTTCTCCATGGCCTCAGAAAATAGGAGGCCACCGTTGGGAGCGCAGAAGGGTTAGTCTGATCTCGCCCATACGAACAGCGTGGACGGCGTCTTTGAAAATTGGCAATGCGCCTATGTGAGGAAGTGTTGCCCACCATAATGAAACATTTCCAAACCAGAACCACTTGAATACAATTGCCCAACCCGCTGTTCAAAAGATGAGGGAACAGGTAAAATTGAAATTTGGCATTCGAAACACTTTCCGTCCATCTGAAAAAGTCTCAGAGTTATCAATCATGCCACATCCTCTCAACATGCACTAAACATGAGGGTGGGCTGTGAACTCACTATGAACTCGTCCTAGAGACATTCCAGAAGTTTTGAAAAAGGATAACGAATAGGATATTGAATTTGCGAAATAACGCCCATAATTGCTCTTCATCTCAGGGGAAAATCGATAGCAGAAAAGCTCAGGACAATTGGGAAGACGATAATCTCATCAAAATCAGGCCAAGGGGGAAGAAAAGCGTGGAAAGAGATGCATGCAACATGACATGCAAAGAGAAGAGAGTAGAGCACTGGGATTTGGGATGGATCGAAGCAATAACCTCTTTGGTCGCTCCATTAAAAAAACCAGGGAAATTCGTTCTGAAGTGCATGACATGAATCATTAATCAGGCCATGTGCTGCTTTTGGAGAAAATTTTCAGAATTACGACCCCCTCCCCCCATCCTCCCATTCTACCATACACTTGCCTTAGATAATTCCTTAAATTTGTTCAATGATTGTTTTCCGGAAACTCTACGATTTTTCACAAAAAAAACCCGCCGGAAAAGCTAAGAGGAAAGGGGATTTTATTAGGTTGTCCGGAAAGTTCTCAGCGTTTTGCGCACCTATTTTTTGTACATTCACTGCTGATTAAAAACTCATTCTGCCTTGCTTCTCAGTAGATATCCATGTAGAGGAATTTTCCTTGGCGCTATCCCTGATGGTGATGATTGCCGTTTCACCACTGCTTGATAAACCCCCTTTTCCAAAGACTTTTTCAAGCATGTCAAAAGAGCAACTTCGAACGATTTTCTTCTTCAACTATAAATTGGGTCAATCCGCAGTCGAGACAGCTCGACAAATTAACCAGGTGTGGGGGCCCAATACTACTGGAGAAAGCACCGTGCGAAAATGGTTCGAAAAATTTCGTTCTGGAGATTTCAGAGCTTTGAAGACTGACCTCGTGGCGGCTGGCGACCTAGGGCCATACCTGACGAGGGATTTGAAGGCAGTCGTAGAGGCTGACCCATCCCAAACAGTTCGAGGGGTTGCAGAAAAGCTAGGACTTGGCAAATCCACTGTTGCAGATGGTTTGAAACGCATTGGGAAGGTGAAAAAACTCGATAAGTGGGTGCCCCACAATTTGAGTGACCGGCAGAAATTGGCACGTCTCGAGGTTTCATCTGCACTGCTTTTGCGTAACAGAAACGACCCGTTTTTGGACCGAATTGTCACCTGTGATGAGAAATGGATCACGTATGATAACAGGAGACGTTCTGGGCAGTGGTTGGATGCCCGACGAGCCACCCAAGCATTTTCCAAAGCCGAATCTTCACGAAAAAAAGGTAATGGTCACAGTATGGTGGTCGTCAGCTGGTGTGATCCACTACAATTTCTTGTCACCAGGCCAAACCATCACAGCAGAGTCCTACTGTGAAGAAATCGACGAAATGTACCGAAAATTGCGTCAGCTGCAGCCAGCACTTGTCAATAGAAAGGGTCCGATTCTTTTGCATGACAACGCCCGCCCACACGTTTCACAAATCACTATCCATAAATTGAACGAATTGGGTTGAAGCTCTACCACACCCACCATATTCTCCAGACCTTTCTCCAACCGACTATCACCTTTTCAAACATTTTCAGAACTCCCTTGCTGGAAAATACTTCATCAATCAGGACCAGGCAAAAAAAGCCTTCGTGGATTTCGTGGATTCTCGACCACCCAGTTTTTTTTTGATGGGATTTCTCGACTGCTATCACATTGGCAAAAGTGTGCTGATTCGAATGGTGCCTATTTCGATTAAATCCGATGAGTATTAAAAAAGTTACGATCGTTTAAAGTGAAACACCCAAAAACCCGCCTCAAGCCAACCTTCCGGGACAACCTAAATAGCCACATATCCAAAGCGTCGAAAAAAAACGACCTGAGACGTAAAAGCAAGTCCAATTACCGGGACCATTTTTCTACGAAGACATTTACGACACCCCTCTTGGGCATCCCCACCAACGTACGACGTGCTCTGCTCGCTATGCGCTTCGTCGTGGCTGAACAGCTTCCACATTTACAAATGCTAAAGGACATAAGCATTTGGGACGAACACGTGGTATACGATAACAGGCGCAGATTGGGGCGATTCGGCTGGGAGAGGGGGAGGGGGCATTTTGCACTTCTCGCTGCTTCACTAGTTCCGGTTTACAAGTCTCATTCTGGTATAACCTGTGAACTTTTGTGAAGGAGTGTAAGCTCCACTCAACCACGCAATAGCGAACCTCATCACTCAAGAAAAGGAGGCTATCGCGATGGTGGACACGTTGATGGGAAATACAAAATTGCCAAAATGCGCCCCTTACTCGTCGTTGAACTGCCCTCCAGTTTCCATGTGGGTAATTTAAAAATCAATTAATGTAAAAAATAACAAAAAATAATTAGAAGAAGAGCGAAAAATCGATTTCTGAGTTACAAATCTTTTCCAAGGAAATACTTTTCGGTCCAACAAAGAGAAATCGAGAGTGAAGGAGGGTATCTTAACCAAACCTTTTCGGTGAATTCCATCCATCGTCTACTCGACACACAGTCTCACGTCGCATGGTTATCAATAGGTCAGCGCTAAACGCACAACGTGACCGCAACGAGACGATAACGTCTGGTGGGTGGGATCGGAAAAAGGAGTCGATAGCGCATCTATTCGTTACGACTAGACACACTATGCAGCGAAATCGTCTCCGTTCACACATCACAACCACTCAACGGTAAACAAGGTAAACAAGAAATCTTCGAAAAAGAGAAAGATCGCCAAGTTGCGTTGGCACTTTGAAAGTTTGCCGCTGATCAGAAACATGATAGAATGCCGCAAAATCGATGAAACCAATACAATGGTAGCAAAATCCGCAAAAATGACGCAATGAATTTTCACCATGCAAAGTGTACTTATCATAAATCGATGGGCAAAATGAACGATCCATCAAGAGATAACAACAGAAAAAAAAGTTGGTGATACATATAGTATAAAGGATAGTTTGAGCGCTCATCGATGTCTTTCTAGGGACAGACCAGCCCGAGTACCTCCATCAGGGTACAGCATTGTGATGTGTGAGGTGGTGGTGTAGGTACGACCCCCCCCCCCCGTCCCCCTCCCCGACACCTACCT